AGAAAGGGCTGGGAAGAGCAGTGTCTCAGCTGCCAAAGGCCTGTTGAAACATGCAGCAGTAACCAAGGAAACTTCATGCTAGAACCAGCTCAACATGATGAATTGCTGCCTAATAACTGACTGCTAAAGGGTCCAGGTAATTCAGCTGCTCCTCTTGGAGTGGGTGCTGCGTGGATAACTTTTCGTTGATGCTCTTTTGCGCTAAACATTCCTAGCATAAACATTACCATTGTGGTGAAGCAGGAATCCCATCTCCTGAAGCCCACGTGTCCAGCACAACACAGGGTCGCCACTGAGGGGCTCTGAGAAGCCTCCAGATCCCAGCAGCTCACTGTGGTTGTGTGACTCTGCTGTGCCATCAGGTGTGACTTCCCTGGCCCACAGCGCCATCTTACACATGGGCCCTGTTCTTGGGTGATTCCTGCTGTTTCCAGGATTGTTTGCAGTCGGTAACTGGGTGCAGGTACTCCAGGCAGTGGCAGTGGTTGGGGGGATGCAACAGTCATGCAGTGTCACATCCTGGTGGGCACATGAAGCCTTTTCTTTGGTGGCACAGGGCTGTGTGACTGCAGTCTTGCCTGGAAGAATGCACCGAATGGTCTGCTGGTGGTGACAGAGCTGGTGAGAGGCAAATGCTAAAAACTGCGTCAAGGGAAGCTGGAAGTTGTAAGAAAGGTCACTTTGGAGATGGGGAGAGGGCCAAGTGGTTGACAGTTGGAGACTGCCATGTTAAGTGACATGCTCTCTGCTGTTTTTATTTTACAGATTGGAGGAAAATCTGGCAAGACCTTACCTGCTGATGAAGCATCATACAAATGGACATGGTTGCAGAGTGGGGGCCATAGATTTTACAAAGGAAATGTTGGAAAATGCCTGGTGGGCCACACGTGCTAGTGAAAGTATGAGTGAGCTTCTGAAGATGGGAGAAGACAAGGGTCTAGGAAATCTCTTTAAAAACTAGGGAAAGCGTAGGGAAACTTAAAAGAAAAACAAGATAAAATGGCAGTTGCATATAAGCCTACGCATGCACTCACTCTCTTGCTTTTTCTCTTACACCCACGCGCTCAAGCACATCTTTCTGTCCGAAATAGTAGGGAAAAGACATCATAGTCTTTATTGTCAAGGGTAATTTCTCTTCACGTGTCACTACCAACAAATTCTCAGAGCAGGGGGATATATTGCACACAACTCATCCGCCTGCTTTTTTCCTTTCCCTAACCTGAAAGAAACAAAGAAAAAAGCCCCTGTGAACTGTGGAGTTGAAGAGCTACATGCTGACAGCTCTTGAATGGATGAAGGCTGAACACAACTATTTGTATGCTAGTAATGCAATGGGAGGCAGCAGGGTGGTTGTGTGGGGGGGAACCAGGGATCACTTTTCCTCACAGGACTGGCTTTTGGCCTGTCCCTCTTTGCATTTCGAGACATCAGGGAACCTGGCTGCAGCTCCATGGTGCATTTCACTCCCAAAATGCTTTGCAAGCTGGGGGATTTCCCACCCCTCATGTTCAGCCTGCAAGGAGTATTGTTGAAAATAACCTGCGTTAGGGTAGATTGCTCCACAAGACTGATGCCTTTTGGTTGTATGGGCTGCACAGTGATTTTACACAGCAGGATGAAGACAGATGGCTGCCAGCTGGGTTTAAACTTGTGCTGTCCCTCCACACTGTTGGTGATAGCACTAATACTCTGCTCAGAAGGGCTGAACTTTGGGTGTCTCTGGGGAAGTGGGGCCATCGCACGCTCAGGTAAGCTCGGCATAGTCTGCCTGGATTACATGAGCAAAAGCTTAGGCCCACACTAAGCGTTCTTGGACTCTCCCTTTCCAGGGATAATCTCTTAACATATGCTTGAAGAACCACACAGCAGACTACAGTCAATTTGTGTCTTTGTCCTGTATTTAACTGCTATGGTAAACTTCCCTGATGGATATTGGCACAGGCCCTCTTGGCTTTAACTGGTGTTTGTCTCCATGAGACTCTCCATCCCAACATGCTTGAGTGAAAGACTCCACCAGCTCATTTAAAAATGAGGTTTGCTCATCAGAGTCATCGCCCATGCAGAGAGGGAAAAAAAAGAATGCCTAGACTGTTGTGGATTCCTCTATTCTGTATACTCATTCCTGGCTCATGGTTGGGAACTTACAGTGTGCAAGAGAAGATCATTATGGTTTCTGGCAAGGAATGGAATTTGTATTAACAGATATTTTATTTTATTTTATTTTATTTTTAATTTTTATTTTATTTTATTTTGCAAAAGGCTAAATAATACCCAAGATTCCTCAATCTACTTCCAGTGTTCCCTTCTTGCTACATGAAACTACTGAGTCTGAATTGAAAATATGTGGGGAAAAAAAATGTAGGGTGTTTTTATGACGCTTGGAAGAAAATGGATTTGCAGAGCTTCTCTCTTTAAATGTGTCAACATAAATGACATCCTAGCTGGTCTTGCAGATTGCATGGCATAGGCAAATAACTACTATTTATTGCATGGACTGTGCAATTTTTTACCTAGCTATTTCTGCTACATGCAGAATAGATGAAACCAATTTTCCTTCTACATTTATATAGTGCCTGTCAAGAGATGCATGCAGTGGTCTCCACTAATGCTCATTTGCACCATGATTCCTTATCCAGGATTTAACCCCTCCCGGAGTAAAACTACACCACATCTATGATACCTATTACAAAATGAGATAGATTCTGTGCAACGTTCTAACAGGTTACACGTGGCACTTTCCTTCGCTTTGGCCTCCCTAGTCTCCTCTGTAACGGCAGCCTAAGGCAAGTCTGTCATGGTTACAGGAGAAAGACCTTGCAATCAGCGTTGGAGAGGCCAGCTCTAACTCTTTAAGATCACTCAGTCTTTATCTACCAGCTTGTTTCAAAAGGGCGGCAACATAAAAATGTATTAAGAAAAAGAAGAAAAATCATTTAAGCAAGGCTCAACAAGGAAACTCAAGTGCTCTGTGCATGGATGTCATTAGAAACTATGTATATAAGCACATCAGAGTTCATTTGATTGCAAGTTTTGATACTAAGGTAAAAAACCTATCTATTTCTTGTTTTCTCACCATCTGTATTAATGCACATGTTTGCCCCACTGGCTCTGGGTATTCTCTACTAGTACATTATTTACAAAATATGTTATGCTCCAAACAGTCCTCTGGATGAGAGTATCACTTCTGTTGCTTACAGCTGTCATCAGAGGGACAATGCATGTGTCTAAAGGTACCCTTATATTTTGCTGAATCAGGTTCTGAGTTTCCTTGTACAGTAACGTATTGCATTACTCTTCTCCATTGCTCATCTAAATACCTCTCTTTAGTGATACATACAAATTATATCTGTGATACAAACGTTGTGCGTGCGTGTGTCTGTATGCTGTTTACTTGGGCAGAGCTTTTACCACTCGTTTATTTTTCAGAGTAAGAAAAATAAAGGTCTCTGTACTTAGCCTACGATGACAGTTTTGCAGCAGGAGAACACTGAACAAGAAAAATGAAGACTGCAGAAGTGGAAGGAGGAAATGAAAGTTGCTCTACCGACAGGGCTACATGAATTCAGCAATGGGTGGATTAGGCTGAGTGTTATCAGTGATGATGAAACACAGCAGACTGTGGTAATGAAATATTTATGAATGGGGAAATGATACTGCATTCTGCACTGCAGCACAGGGAAAGTGAAATTTCAAGAATACTGTAATAGCAAAACCTTCCATTAATTATCGAAAGCAAGCTGTAATGCCAGTTACTATGACAACATGGTCCCCTATGTATTTTGCACCAATT